TTCTTAAAAGCGATCCACTACAGTCGGAGAAAGTCGAGTCGAGGTGGATACGTTTCAACGGCAGAGGAGAAACCCGGTTTTAAATTCTTAATGATCCTCTTTTATCTCGTTCGTTGAAAATCTGCTCGACTTATCGAGGAACTTGGGCCGCGTGCGAGAAGAGGGAAAAAGGAGAAGGAAATTAATTGAATCCCTCGTAGAGGCAGGTATGAAATAAACATTTTAACGAGAATTATGTCGAACGCGGAAGAGGTCGTGGCGTAACTTTTCCAAACGGAAAAGAGCGCCGATCGCGAATAACTTCGCCATATACGACGGTATCTAGATGATCTCGTTAATTGATACCAAATTCGACGCGAAGCGCCGTGGTAATCGTGTTTCACACCTCTGGATGGACGGCGCGTCGCGCAAAAAACAACCTCGCGCGCCTTTTCGATCTGGAAAAGGAATCGGGCTGGCTCGGTTATATAAACCGCAAACGAGACTCTTATTTCGATGCTCGTACGCGTTTGTGAATCAAAATAGGAAATGTATGGAGTTGTTCGAGATGTTTGCGAGATATACACATGAAAAAAGTACGTGGATATAAACGTGTCATATGTCACAATATTTCTTTTCAATGTAGAAAGTTTTTAAAAGTTGAATCAATTCGTTTAAATCGTTTATTTTTGACGATGGATTATTAATTATTTCTTGAACATTTTAAGAAATAATTTGATCTATTGATCTGATCGTTTAAATTGTATCATTTAGAACCAATAATACGATTTCCACTTGAATGAAAAATATGTTAGAGGCAGCACAATATGCGACATATGTTGGATAATTAACGAGACAGATACAGAAAGAAATCAAAGAAATCAAGAATGTCGTGTTTCAAGTTTCACGCATGATTACCTACAATTTAAAAAAGATTGGAAGTTTTCAACGTTTATATCGTAACGTTATCATAACCCACGCATACGATTTCGATATTACCATATAAATGTATATAACTTTAAGATTAAATATACTAAATTATATTTTTCGATATATATTACGACTTAAAATATCGATTTAATTTATTTAATAAGTTATGAAATAACTCGAAATTTAGATAAAACTTAAGAAAGTGCTTTAACACTTAAAGCACTTTCATACTCGTATCAACAGTATATGAAAATCCTTTTAAATTAGATTTGAAATAATCTGAATTATCGTTGAAATATTCAATTTAGATTTAGTATCTCTTTTTTTTTTTTTTTTTTTACTCGAAATCATTTCGATATTCTTTCTAAATCATGATTATTCCCAATCTCAAATCACCTTATCACGAATCGTTGCACATAATTCGTTTAACACGAACGTTCTAAAATTTCACGTTATCATGGAAAGAATGATAAATCACGACGAGGGCAACGCGGAAATTATATTCCATTCCATCGACACTTCTGCCCTCGATTCTGCTATCCGGTTCATGTATCAACGTGTTACAAACAACGTGTTACAAACATGTCGTACTCGGAATCGACGCGATTATGCGGCCTCGATCGACGTCCCGATGGATTTCGTACCGATGCACTTATCGCAATCATGCCCACCGAATCCTGTGTCGGTTATTTGCCTTTCGAAATTGCAACCCGGTTCGCAAAATTGCCATAAACCGGCAACACCTGCCCTCACGTACCGTGAATCGAGTTGCATTTCGCCGAGTCGCTGCAATTCCCCCCACGATGATGTATTACGTATCCGCTTTTCGAATGACCCTGCTGGATAATCGATATAGTTAGGGAGAAGGCAATCTTTTGCTGGAATATCCGGTTACAATGATGGATGTTGTTTTCGCGAAGAAGCGAACGGAAGAATACGAGAATAATACGACAATAGCAGCGTGAAAAATCTAGATCTGAATGTGACGGATGTGTGACAAAAAAAAAATGATATGATTCGATAATTTGTCCAATAACAGCTTGACTTTTAACATTTTACGATCTACGCGCAATAAGATTATCTTTGCAAGTACGCACTTCACAATTCAACTTCAAGTTTCAAGTTTCAGGTTTCAGGTTAACGTTAAGAAAATAAAATATACAGAAAAATTTAATGAAATATTCAAATGATGTTGGAATATTGATATCAATCAATGTATCAAGTCTGAACTGTTTTTCGTTTGGTAAAATTTTCTCGATAAAAGAAGTAAAATTATTTTTCAATTTCATATTAAAAAAAACACGAGGATTTTAATAATCGTGCGTTTCCAAGTAACGTGTCATTCACATCTCATCTATTTCTCTCCGCCTCGATTAAATAAGAATCCGCCTTTATATAATATACATTCCAAAGCAATGAACGCTTACGCGGCTCCCGATAATCGTAATCCACTTTACGTTTAATACGTAAATTTACGTTGACTGTAATATCAGGCAGAATAAAGCGACTGATATTTCCAAACATTTAATATTCAAACCTGTTCCGCCGTGGCTGGCGATACGCAAACAACATCTTGCCAACATTTTTAAAGAGATCAAAAGAGATAAGATAATCGAAGTCCTTCCAGTGCGATAATCGCTAAATATCGTGGCAACGATTAATTTAAAATTTCTACGCAATATTCCTATAAATGCTAATCTTATTATGTTACGTTCCGCTAGATGCTCTCTCTTCATTTTGTGATCGTCGAAGAAGGGTCGATTGTTTCGACCCCAGCGATCTAACCTATAAAAAAAAAAAAAAAAACGG